AAAAACAGCATTTATTTGAAATGTTTTTACTGTTACTTTTGATCAGTCAAATGCATCCTTGCTGAATAAAGTATTAATTTCTTTTGAAAATTTCAATGGTGGTGTATTTGAATATATTTTTATGGTTTCATATTGTTCTGTTTGGCAGGATTGGCTCGCAAAGTATGGATATCTCCCGCCCCCTGATCCCTCTACAGGTCAGTTACAGGCCTGGACAGCTGTCACTCAAGCAGTGAAGAAAATGCAGAGGTTTGCTGGTTTGGACGATACAGGAGTATTAGGTATGAAAAACCAAATATGTCCCCCACTGTTTTTAAATCTCAGTCTTATTTCATAACTCTTCTATTGTGTCTTCGTCTTTACCCTTGCCTTCCTCTCACAGATGAAGAGACAGTTCAACTGATGCAGACACCCCGGTGTTCACTTCCAGATGATGATGACCAAACCATTCAGACATCGGCACTACACAGTGATGATATGCAAAATCAAAGGATGAAAAGAGCAGTTTCTACCTGGACAAGAAGAAATATCAACTGGAGGTTAGCCTGATGATTATTTTACCGGTTGTTTTTTTCTTCCTGCTTTTTCCATCCTGCATTCATCTACATGATGTACAGTATCACAGCAAAGTAAAATATTAAAAAACACCTCAGCAAATCTTAGTGTATTATTCTTTGTTTTTTCTCAGGCTGCGTTCTTACCCGGCATCCTCTAAACTGTCCCGTGAAATATTTCGCTCCCTTGTGTACTATGCACTCAGAGTGTGGGCCGATCCAACATTACTTGAGTTCCATGAGGTTGTGGTTACTTTTTAAAACATGAGTTCCTGAATGCTTTTGTGTTCATGTAAATTCACAGACTATGTTGAACTATTTTAAATAGGTGCGAGGACCAGAGGGGGCAGATCTCCAAATAGATTTTTTGCATGGTCCCCATGGAGACGGATATCCCTTTGATGGAGCAGGTGGATCTGTTGGCCATGCCTTCTTTCCATCAGATCCAGACAGGGCAGGTGGAGTTCATTTGGATGCAGAGGAGGAATGGGCCTTCAGACAACCAGGTAATTCTGCAAAACAATCAAAGGTAAGGAATAATGCACAAAGCTAAAGTAAAACCCAACAGGACAGTACAGGCCAATAATTTTCATCTTATGGACAAGAAATAAAAACATAATTTTTTTAACAAGTGAATTTAAGTTTTACAAAATTATAATGTACAGTATGAAAGAAAAATATTCAATTTGAGATTTGCTCAAGATTACAATTATTAAATATTTTTTGTTTTAAAGATTAGCTTTCCCATCATCTAATGCTTCCTTAATCTTATTGTAAAATATGAAATTATAGTCCGAAAATGTATAATAATTTATTAAAGCTTTAGACAAAAAAACTGATATATATATGTATATATATATATATATATA